GATCGTCGCCGTCGCGGGGTGAAAAAAATCGAAAGACGATCGAAGGAAGAGAAACACGACGGTTTGACAATTTCACGGTACATTAGCGAACGGTGGGTGGAACCGGGTTGTCGCGAACACCGCGACTAATTATGTTTTTAATTAATCATCGTTTCGTCTGGTTCGCGCGTAGCGGAGTTGTGCTCGGTCGTGTGCTCGTTACAGCGCGCTAACAACGACATCCGCGACGCGACGACGTTTTCCCGCCCTGGGACGAGGCTTCCTCGTTATCCTCCTTCGACTCGACGGCTATCGAAATAATCCCTCGGCGGCGCAAATGACCCGGAAACCATCGCGTTCCTCGAGCCAGCATGCGCGCCTCGCGCGTTCCCCTAAAAATAAGCCACGATAGTCCGAGGCGAGCCGTGTAAAAAGCGGCCGCTCGTTAACGGGCTGGCGTTAATTATCGCCCGGGACCCGCCGAACTGCAGCCACGTGGACGACCGTAGCCGCGCGCCACGATAAATAATTCGACGGTATCGAGTTAATAAAATAAACGTCCGCGAGGGCTCGGTGTGACGACTCTTTTCTCGCGATCGCGAGCCCGGCACCCTGTTGCGAGTCCGAGCGCGCAAATCGACCCGTTCGCGATCGCCTACGAGCCAGTTTACGAGTCGAAAGATTTACCGTCGATCCGACGCCCGGCCCGTTAATGCATCGTACGCGTTCACGGCTATTCCCCTCTTCATTTTATACCCGTCATAACCGAAATTAATATTTTTCGCTCGATAGCGAATCGTTCGAATGTTAGAAGATAAGGAATTACCGGTTTTGCTAGGTAGAACAGATCTCTTCGTCAACCAATGTCACTTAATTTCCTTCGGTGACATTTTTCACCGTCTCTGATATTTCGAAGCGTGCATTCGGGATTAACCATAAGTGGAGCAACGAATTAGATTTGCCAGTGGGACGGGGTGATCAATTTATTCGGCGGTCCCGGTGGTAGGATCGTGGCGCAACCGGCGACCATCCGCAGTATCGTTTCGCAAGAGGGCCATTAAGAGGGTCCGTTTTCAGGTCAGGACGTTTGGCACGAGCGGGCCGATTCGGGGAACGAGTCCTACGCGTTTGTCGATCGTTTACGGATCCCCAGATTCCCTGTCGCGCGATCCACGGATCCACGTCTAGACGATCCGTACAGTTCCCTGCGGGATAATCGCGTCACGCGAGCCGAAACCACCGGGATCGATTTAAATCGAGCATCCTGCGTGTACGATGGATTCTCGGGACCATCGATCCGATTAAAGGCGAATACCGATTCGATTCGTCGGACGGGCGACTCCCACCCCGTCGTCCTTGGTATACGATCTCTAAATCATTGTGCGAGTGCCATTACGAATCGCTCGCGGGAACGATCTCGTGAAATCCGCGCATGAAACGCGTGACGTGGACGAGGATGGAAGACAAAAGAAACGGCGTGACTAATGCGCGGTTCGTCCGGAGACCGATCGGCCCGTAACCCGTTGTCATTAATTTCGTCTCGCTGTTCCGCGTGATTCTTTCGTGATTCACGGATCGAGAACGATCGAACGTTCGTCAAAATACGCGTCCTGCCAGAAAAAAGCTCAAGGTACAAACGACGGAGAGTCAAAGGCAATAACCATTTGAATCGCAGGACGTTGACCCCGACGATTTATTTATTTATTTCGCGATTACAGGATACGCTGGTCTAAAAAAATCTTTATCGAGCACGATGTTTTCAGCAAAAAATCCAACAAATAAAGAGGCGATAATTGTTATTCGTGTGGAGAGACGCGAACTTATTGCACAACCTAATAGTTTGCTCTAGCAACAGTGTAATACGATCGTATGTGCTCGGCGAATGAGCAAATCTTAGGCACTCGGTGCTCGATGTGCGCGGGTTTAGAGCCGTACGGTTAAACAAGGATAATAAACGACATAGGAGCGGTGTGACGGTATTAATCATAATGCGCGTATTTGCACGCGGGACGCGGCTTAGATGCGCGCGTGAGCGCACGCGTGCGTGTCGACGCGCTGACAGTTCGTTTGAACGCAATTAGCGTGCCGCTTGATAGTTGCCGGCTTAACACCGTTCGCTATCGCGACAACGATCGTCGAATCGAATTAACCGTTTCGTCGCGCACTTCGCTGTCCGCTGGACCGAGTCCGCGATCCTTCGCGCTTCCTTTTACTCCTCTCTCTACGCTACAACTCGATCACTAAGGGTTGTTTTCTCGTCAGAGTACTCCACGAATAGAGAAATATACGAATTAAATTAAGTTTCCGAATAAAACGTTCAAAACAGTCACCGGAAGAATTCACCCCTATTCTTTGAACGATTTCGCGGTCGACGAACACCCCCTGCTCTCGTATCGGTGACTCCGCGCCTCCTTTTCTTTCGAATTATCCGCCTCTCGAGCCGATTCAGCCGGCGAAAGGCGGAGGGGTGGTCGGATACGTCGTTGCGTGGCTCTCGAAGATGGGAAACGAAGCGAGTTCGCGCGAAGATGGATAGAAAACGACGCTCGTAACGACGGGGCTCAACTTTATGAATATTATTTTCCAGCAGATGTCCCCGACGATAGAAGCTCGTCGACGTTGTCGTCGTCGTCGTAATTAATGACGTCTTCCCGGGCGGGGGCGGCGTTCGCCAAAAGAGGAGAAAGCCCGGAGGCGAAAGAAGCTGCGGAAGAGGGTGGGAGGGCACGGAGAATTTCAGAGGTAACACGGACGGCGGGTAAGCCGCCGATAAGGAACCCCGAGAGGGTGCTGGAAGGTAGCAAAACCGACGTAGCCGGATGGCGAACGACAATGCGCGCGAATTATCCCGGAATGACGGGGTAGTTTTAAAGCCAGGAAGCCGACATTAGCGCATTGATACCGCGCGAGCTAGCACGCGTTCTGCCATCGGGTAGACCATTAATATTACTTAGTTTACGGCTGGAGCCGCGAGGGTGGTCGGACGGATCCGTCGCTTCGCTCGTTTCCGCGATTCGGTTCCGCTCTCACCCTCCCTTCGACTCTTAACCGGTCGAAATTCACCGATACGATGCAAAAATGGTTTGGACAAAGAGAAGTTTTACTTGTCAGTGAAATTAGTAAATTCGGCTGATTCGGAAACCGAGCTCGAAGGGGTTGTTTCGGTCGCTCGTGCAAGCGTATCCCGTGACACGGGGCGAAAAAGCCGCGGTCTCCGAGCGAATCGGATTTTTTCTGGAGAGGGAGGGGTAAGTTTGTGGCTTATGAGATTTAATCGACCGGACTACAGGGCGAAGAGACAAACGAGCGGAATAACTTCCGCGACGGAACTCGGGTCTCGGTGTTGCTCGGGGCGCGCGACGGTCGGAGGCGGATTAGCGGCAACAAATCATCGGGATTAGAGCGGAAACGGAGCGCCGCGTCGGGGTCGAAAGAAGGCGGAAAGAGAGAAAGTGACTGGTACGAGAGACCGGTCGAGAGAGGGAAAACGAGATTTCGGGCGGCCGCGCCGCGCGATCTCGTAGAATCAAAAGGACAAACAATTAATAACCCCGGGCGCCGACGATTAATCAGAATTTAACTCGCAGTTAAATACTCGGCCGTCGGAGGCTCGAACGCCGACCGGTGCGTGTATCCTGGGGATGGAAGGGAGGATCGAGGGTTACGGTGCACGCAGGATAAACAAAGGTTTACATCAGTGTCAGTCGCAACAAGTCCGAATTCGTCTAGGGTTCTCGGCATGAATATTCACGGGTTGCTCGCCCGTCCGTCCCTTCCAGCCTCCGCGCTCTCGCGCTCGCGCCAATTCACCCCCTGTTACCCTCGCCCCGCGCCCCGTGTCCCGCGCCCCCGCCACGGTCCGCGACCATTTGACACCCCCTGCGATATCCATCGAACGGCTACCAGTCAAAGGCTGAAATCACAATACGCGTTTGTCCGGTTGACGAAGTCGACTCTCGGCGCGGGTGCCGCGAAAGCAAATAGAACGGGACGGACAGAGAGAGGGCGTCGAGGCTGACGATGCGCGGCACCGACGCGTAGGGGACGCGGGGAACGGACCAATGGTCATTGCCTTTGAATTGGAAATTACGTTTCGGCCGGTCAAGTGTCGATTTTCGCCCCCGCGTTCGCGCGGCTGCGCCGCGGGGGGTTCGCGCCTTTCGGTGGCGGGCCTCGTTCGAACTTCCATTCGAGAGTTCCGGACGAGCCTCCCTCTCGAAAAGGAGCGTAACCCTCTCGGGGGGGTGGGGACGCGCGCGCGACCGTTTCCCACCCAGTCGAATGATTTAATCCCCCGAATGATGGACGGGCACGTCGCGACGATGATCTGCGTGCCGTGAAGTGACAAGTGGTTAGGATCACGGGGAAACCTCGGTGGCGGATGACGGTGGTGGCTGATGGCGGCTGGGTGACGCCGGGTTTCCGGGGGGGTTGGTGGTGGTCGGCCCTCGGTGGTCGAGGTTGCTGGTGTCGTATCGGTGACGGGACCCGGGGCTACCGGTGGATGGATTTGAGGAGGAGGGGGTCGGAGGGGGTGGCGGTGCGTGCTCGCACCGTACAAATCACGCGGGCATTACGGCGTCAAGCGCGGACTCAACGTGTCGCGCGAGCGGAACACTCGATGCCGACGGTAATGCTGATTTATCGGAAGCGCCGATGACCGAGCGGACGCGAGTGCGCGCCACCGTGTTGCACCGACCAAGCCTACGCTTTGCGTTTCGCGCGATCCGTCCTTTTATTTTAGTTTTTTTTTTAACACCGCGAACGCGTCGCGAGCCCGCTCGAACGGAAAACAGAGGTCGTCGTTCCTCCGGGGTCCACGCGCGGCCTTCGAACACGGGCTTCCTGATTCCATAGTTTTATCGTTAAGCCGTGAATATCGGAATATACCTCGTCGTTATCCACAGAAATTTTCGTCAGAAACTATTTCTGCCCCGTGAACGTACTTTGAAGTTTGCAATTAACTCGCGCGTCTTTTGAAAACGAGTGTTGTAACTATAGATAAACTTGAACTTTCCTACCTTTCGAGATGCTTGACGATGTCTTCGTAGGCGGCTCGGCAGTTTTCCCAAACCGTCCCGGACCTGTGGATCACAAAGAGAAGCGACGATTGAAACAACGACGTAAGGAGGAAAAAATCGAGATGGAGGGGCGTTTGGAAGAAGTCGGGGGACGCGGGTTGATAACCGAATCGGTTAATTATAAGCCCTGTCACGTAATATCCCCGTAGAAAGTGGATCCGCGGGGTTGATTAAGAGTCCTCGTCTCGTTCCGTCTCGTCTTTCGTTTGTCCTTTGACTCGTCCGTGCCTGTCCCGACTCTCGAAACGAAGACGCTGCTTTGAAGTCGCTGATTAAAAAAGACGTTGTCGGGCTCCCGTTCTCGACTAATTTACTCGAGGTATCGATCGTCGAAAACGCTTCGACGGACGAGCGAGGACGCGTCGAACCGAAAGAAACGGGGAAAACACGGAATCCAAGATCACGGAGGGGGCCGTACGGTGGACGTCGCGACCTCGACCGGAAGGAAGTTCCGCGCGCGACCTGGCATAGCCACGAGGATCGCGCTCCGTCGAGGAGAGCCCTCGCTCGGGGCTGAATCAGAGGGTGGCTATAGGGCAGCGGCGATGACGGCGGTGCGCCAGGATGGGGTTGCGTTGAATTAATCATATTCCGGTGTTTGTCGTGCCGCCCCCAGACGTAATCCGTCTTACCTTCCGATCTCTCTTGCTCTCCTCTGCCACGATAGATTTGCATTTTAATTAAAAGCAAAGCGCTGAAATCATAATGCGAAACGCGCGGCGCCGCCTTCGTCGCGTCGTTGCGCGTGCACGTAAACGCCGAGCCTCGGAAGGACACGGTCTCTGCCCCCGTCATCGACCATCGAAACAACCATCGTCGGGGTATTGCTCGAAACGCGAGAGAAAAATAACCAAGACGCGCTGTTCGACGTTTCCTTTTCGAGCGTACAATTTAACACGACCAGCTCTAAGACTAATTACAGCAGTCTCCGAAATCCTCGAAAGCTCCGGGTGGTTGGGAGCGAGCGCTCCAAGGAGAGGGCGCACCGCCAACAGCATCTATTAGAAACGCGTTAACAAATGCCGGGATTAGCTCGGCGTCTACCCGGCTCCGAAGAACCTCCCGCCTCCGTTTCTAGCAATCGGCGCTTCCCCCGCGAAACAACGACTCAACGGGGTGGTTTAATCCGCGATATACGTCTCGGGACCGCAACGCCTCGAGGATTTACCGGTTCCCGGGGACCCTTTCGCGGCATCCCACGGAATATCGAACGAAATCGGTTCGCGATAGGCGAAGCGTCGCGACGCGCGGAGGGCTGGGCGACTCGGTTGAGGTCGCGCGTAACTCGAGCCGAGTAAACGACCTAGAAGGAACGCGACGCGCCCAAGGAAACGGACTTTCAGCTACCGGTCGCAGAACGACGAGGGAAAGATCAAGCAGTGTCGAGACCCCTCGGATTTCCACGGCTTCGCCGTCTCTTCAAATCCTCTTAAAGTTGTATTTTTTTGGCCTCGCCGGCCCTTCGTTACTACCACCACCCGGGACAGGACGAACGACCGCCTCCGCGGAAGAGCAAATCCAATTTCCGAATCCTACGCCAATTCATCCCGAAACGCGACAAATTCCTAGCCTGCATCGATCGTCGACGCGGGGTAGTGTCAACCCTCTAGGCTTCCAGTATTTATTTTTGAGGAATCAAGGGTCGAAGTAGGAGACTTACCTCGCGAGAGCTTCCATGTTGGACATGTTCGGGTTGACTTTCATTCCCTGCTCGGCGCGGGCTTGAGCCTGGCTCTGCAGGTGATGGGGCAGACTAGCCGGCGACAGGATGGCGGTGTGTCCCGCGCCAGGGTGTCCGCCTAGTTGCATGAACTGCATGTGACTCAGGTGCGTGGGCGGATGATTGTAGCCGTTCGCCAGGAGCGGCGACTTCTCCATCCTCGACACGTCTGAAAGCAAAGAGGAATCGAGCGATGTAGCGGCAGTTCGGAACCGATGGTCCGGGGGGAGGACCGCGCCGGCCGCAAATACCGTGGGCATATTTGCTCGTGGATTCGCTCGGTGGATTTTCGGTGTTTCGAGGTTTCCGGGCCGGTGATATATCTTCGTCGACGGTCACGGTCGTTAGGGGATTGTTACGATCGCCGACAGACGCACGAGTCGAAAAGGTTGCGTCTCTCGAATGAGGAGGAGGAGGAGGAGGAATCGCGAGAAACGAGCCCGAGGTAATCGTTTCGGGATTCCAATCGTGCAAAGACGACGTCGCGGACGATGTTACTGCGAGACAGGGATTGGGAGGATCGGACGCGATGGAAGAGAGAGAAAGGGGTGAGGGCAGAGACGGTGCAATGGGGTTGGCAGAGAGGCGAGGGGGTAGAAAATGAGCGGTGCCTATTTATTACAAATTATCTAAATGGCAGTGATTTCGGCGGACCGGCTGGCCGTTTGACGAGTAAGTGGCGGGTTTGCCGGGCAGTGACTGTCGATCGTTGGACGCTCGGCGACCGTTTGTTCGTCTCCCGTCGATCGGCGCCCACCAGCGATTTGACAACCACTGCGAGACCCGGCCCATGACCGGCCCTAAAATTGGACTTATTACAACTTATAGAGCGCGATTTGAACGCTCCGCTCAATAACATACATTATCCCCAATCCATATGATTTAATGAAATCCCTCTAAACTCTCCACTTAGCCTCAGTACCTTCTCGCGCGGTACCCTTCCTTCTTTTTCGTGTACGCGCTCTCTCGCAGATTGCTACGTGTGTACGAAGAGAAGCCCGTGAGCGAGCCGGCCGAGCGAGCAAGCGAGACGCTACCAGAGCGAGAGAACGATCGGTGACCGTGGAGAGAAAGAGGGCCCGGAGTGGGACCGAACGGGGCCTCGCGGACCGAGCGAACAGAGTCGGCTTGGCACGTTCCGATCGCCGTGGATACTTAAAACGCGCGTTCCCGTATTTTTATAACCTCGACAATAGCTATTTGCGGCGGTCGCGATCCTCCGGCCGCGGCGCCGACGACCGATGAAGACGTTTCGAGCCGGAGGATCGGCCGACGACGCCCGGCGCGGACGAATTCGCGTAGAAAAATCGGGAACGAGAACGACTCGGTGGTCGACGAGGAGGGGAACGCGATAAAACACAATTTAAGCTAAAGACCGCGCTCCTATAACTTCCCACCCTTGGGTCCGCGCGCGGACGGGCACCGGCACCTCCTCGCCCCTCTCGTGGCTGATGAGGTGACAACCCATAATTATACAGACCGCTTTCTGTCTGGCCTGACTGCAGTGGCATGCGGAGAGAGGCCTCCATCATCCTCCACCTCCCCGTCGTTCTTTCCTCTCTCCTCCCGTTCGCCACCGTCTCCGTTCAACTCGTTCGCGGGCCCTTCCATCCGCGCGCATTCTATCCGCGTTGTCCCTCTTCCACTTCGCCTTCATCCGTATCTGCTGATCTTGCTTTTTCTCTGGTTACCCTTCATCCCTGGCCGCCTTTCGTCCACGGTTTCTCATCCACCGGGTTCCCGACTTCCCCGCTTAATAACGATACGCGCGTTTCCTTCGCACGGGCGAACGGCGAACGGCCCCGCAGAAGGCAGCAAAGAAACGACCGGCCACCGACCCGGACGATAGACGCCTCCACCCTCGTGCGTCTCGCGCCCGTAGGAAGAACGACCCGAGCTACTTCTTTTCTGGTGTTAATTACAAAACGCGAGAATAAATTGCCGGGGCTAAATGAGCTACGTCTCGTCCCCCGTTCCGCGCCCCGTCTCCCGTTCCCCGACAGATGAATGGACGCGGTGCCGTCCGCGCAGGTGGAATTCGTTATGCGTCGCGAGCACGGACCGGGGATTCCTCCTTGCCCGTGGATAACGCCGACACGCGGGCACGGAAAAACGTTCCCCTCGATCGACGCCTCGAGCTGATTCCGGGAGAGACCACAGTTCCCCCCTTCCGCCCCCTCCTTCCCGCGGCTTTTCTTTTTTCGCCGCTACGCTCGACCGACCGCCGAGACGATCCGTCGTGAAATTATTTGGAAAATATGCCCTTTGTCCGAGGGATCCTCCCCGGGGGGGGGGCCTCCGCGTTCCCGCCATTGTTCTTACCAAACGACGAAGAAATCGACCGACCGCCCTGGCCGTCTCCGGTCGCGCGCGTTATTTGCGCTCAGGCATGTATATGTTTACCCTCGACACCGACTCCCTCGAAACCCTTGGATTTAACCCTCGAACACCGACCCTCCGGGCTAACGGCCGATGACATCGCGGCCCTTTAAGTACCTTCCGCGACGCCCCGTGCCCCCGCGACGGCTCTCCTTCCGGTTTCGGTTCTTTCGTGGCCCGTCCCGTTTCGTTGTCCACTTCCTTCGATCCCGATCGGGAAGCTGGCGCGCGCGTCCGAGAAACGCGCCGTTAGCCGGGCCCGATGCACGTGCATCCCGGGCCCCCGACATTGTTCCCCGACGTGTATTGGTACATAAACACGGGACGGGAAACACAGTTTCGCGCAGGAGGAATCCGGTTTTTCAAGTAATCGAGAGAGTCGAGGAGCCCTGGGCTGCTAGCAGACAGGCAGGCGGGCAGCCATCGAGGTAGCTCCCTGCGTCCAGTCTCGAAACAACCGAGGAGAGAGTGGATGCCATGGGTATGTACACCTCCTCGCTCCTCCTTCGTTCGCTGTTTCTTCTTTCCTCGCTTTCCTCTTTTACCACACCCATTCTTCTTAATCGCTCGCTCGGCTAGTATCGCCGAGTATTGAGACGTACCGCGCCTGCCTGTCTCGCTACCACCTCGCTTTATCCACCGCGGAACCTTCCACCGACATCCATGGACCATCGACGAGCAGATTTCACGATTCGATCGTTCTTTGAAACGCATTTCGACAAAACACCCCGTTTAGATACGTCAGGTACGAAGGAAGATACAAACTTTGTTACATTTGGGTGGAATTGATAGGCGAAATACTGTGTTTCGTGAACAAACTGTTACATTGTCCTCCTCCGATACCATTATACATTTATTATTACGGCCGACATAAAGGTATCATCGTGAACGGAATTATTTCTTTTCCCCGTCTCGAACGAAGGCATGGAAATGGCCAGAGCCGAGTTAAAATGACCCCGCGTCCGTCGAGCGAGGGTTAAAAATTAGTTCCGCGCGGTGTTATTGGCTGTAAAAACGCGAAAGTACTAAAAATATGTTAATCCCCTATCGTATAACCTGCCCGTCCAGGAACCCAATAAAAACAATCCCCGCGATGCTCTCCGTGAAATTTTCGCGCGAATTAAATAATCTCCGACCCTTGCAAATTTAGTTATTCGTATATCTTTCGCGGAGGAATATATAAATCGATTGAACATGTCGTTCAGAAGTGCGTCGATGAAAAGCAAACGAATCGCTCTGACGTTCGTGATTTTTTTAAATCGAATTAATTCGAAACAAAGAAGTGGCATAGTTTCTTTGTTTGATACGAGCGTAACTGTGACCGGGGGCCACAAAGGGGACAAAATATTGAAAACTAAAAACAAAAAGTGCACGAATACGCGTGGCATACTTTACTTTTCATTCCTACGTTAGGGGGTTAAAAAAGAAAAAAGTGATTGGTGACCCCGAAGGTGTTGCGAGTCTACTTGCGAGAAGAGGAGCGAACGAACGCTAAAAGAGGGAACGGAAGCGGTGGCAGAATATTGAGACGTAGCTACCTCGTGGTCGATAGAAGGAGGGCGAAGAGGAATAAGATACGGTCGATCTTTCTCGCGGAGCGTCGTAATCGACGATAACGCAAGGCGAGCGAAGCGTCTAGCCACCTTTCGGCGGTTCCCCTCCCGTTCCCCCTCGGGGCCCTTCGCGGGTTCTTGTCTCTCGTGGCCGGGGCCCTTCTTCGGCAGCCTACCTACCACGCGTCTCCACGCGAAAGAGCAGTCCAGTATTTGTTCTTCCAGGGTCTCATCCGATGCGAGCATCATCCGAGGGCAGTAAACCTTTTGATATATAGTCGAAGGTTTTTAGAGTTCTGTCAGCCACGCCCACAATCAGCCTTAGTATTATTTACACTCCTGGTGGTTTGTAGTCGGTTGTCTCGCTCCTTCGTCCCCCGTAGCCCCCTTCCCGCCTCGTCCAGCGCGCTTTTTTACTCGTTTCGCGTGCTCTTCTTGCCCGAGCGGTCTTCCGACGCGCCTCTTCGGCATCGTCATCGTCCACCACGTCGTCGGGCTCTCCGTTTTTCCAACGGTCCCGCGTTCCTCGTTTTTCTCGATCCCCTTCGATATATTCCAGACCGATCCCTCCCCCTCCCCCCGTCCCCCTTTCGCAGTTTTTCCCCGGTTTCGATCTCTTCCGGATGCCCGCGCCTCGACCTGGGCACCGAGAATTTGTAAAATTAGATACGATCGTGGGCTTCACGGCGCATCATCCCCGCGAAATTATCTATTCCGAGCGGGGGCCTGTTATGGCGCGCGATCGCCATAGCCCGGGGGCCCAGATTTCGGATTTCGCCGCGCGTCTTCTGTCTCGAGCACGCAACGACCGTGGCCCGATGGTCCACCCGACGAGAAAGGGACGCATATTTTATTTCGGAAATGATGATGATACGCACGAAACCTTCCCCCGCCCGGCGTCCTTCGGTTTTATCGCGTCGATTCGCCTTTGGTGAACTCCTTTCTTTCGCTCTGCTCCTTTTGTATTGGGAATCCCTTCGCTCCAGTCACGAAGAGTGGCGCCGATCGCTCCGTCTCTCGGCTCTCTCCGGCCGGGCAAAGCGACGATGACAAGGCCCGAGGTCCCGGGGGCGAATACAAGGTGTCCCGGTGGTCCCGGCGCGATCCAAAAGGGCCTGACTCTTCGTACAAACGCGATTCTTCGCTAGGATTCTCGATCGTAGAGGAACGCTGCTTTAAAAATACAGCAACTTGCTCTGAATTTTAAATTGTATTCTCGATATGCCACCTCAGATAT